AGCCCAGCAGGTCGAGGCTGCGGTGGCCAGGAGCGGCCACTGCACTCCAGTCTGGGCGAAAGAGTGAGACTCCAACTCAAAAAAATAAAAAGATACATTAGTCTAAGCCTACACATGGTCAGGATCATCAAGACATCACTAAGCAGTGGGAATTTTTTAGCTCCATTATAATGTGAGACCACCATTACACACGCAATCCATTGCTGTCTGAAAAACCATCATACAGCACATGGCTATGTTTTTATTGCCAAATAATACTACATTGTATGGATATACATTTTTTTTTTTGCACATTCATTGGTGAACATTTGAGGGTTTTTTTCTCATTTGGGTTTTTTTCCCCCCTTTTAAAGATTTTTACCCCAGCCATGTGAGGTGTCTCATACCTGTAATACCAGCATTTTGGGAGGCTGAAGCAGGAGTCTCAATCCCAGGGGCTTGGAATCAGACTAGGCAACATAGCAAGACCTTGTTTCTACAAAAAAAAATAAAAATTAGCCAGATGTGGCGGTCTGTGCTTGTAGTTCCAGCTACTCGGGAGGCTGAGGTGGAAGGATCGCCTGAGCCCAGTTGGTGCAGACTAGAGTAAGCAATTGGGTCATAAGGCTACGTTTAACCTCTTGAACTGCCAGATTTACCCAAAGCGTCTGCACCATTTTACTTTTTTTTTTTTTTGAGTCAAAGCCTCACTCCACCGCCCAGGCTGGAGTGCAGTGGCACACGCACCCCACCCCAGCTGCAACCTGGGCTCTAGCAATCCTTCCACCTTAGCCTTCCAAGTAGCAGGAACTACAGGTGTGCACTACCACACCCAGCTAATTTTTTTATTTTTTTTGTAGAGACAAGGGCGCATAAAGTTGCCCCAGGCTGGTCTCGAACCTGTGGGCTCAGGCAGTCCACTTCCTTGGCCTCCCAAAGTGCTGGGATTACAGGCTGAGCCACCAAGCCCGACCACCATTTTACTTCTTACCACATTATCTTTCTGATTATAGCCATCCTAGCATATGAAGTGGGTTTTTATTTGCATTTCCCTGATGACTAATGATGTTACGTTTCTTCTTGCTTAATTGGCCTTTTGTATATATTTTTTGAAGAAATTTTATCTAATGTCCTTTTTCTGTTCCAAGATACCATATGTTATCATATCTGCATAGGCTCCCTTTACCTGTGACACAAAGATTAAACCTTTATGTATGTAGATTTTAAGAAATCATTTAGAAGGTAGGGCGTGGTATGCAGAATTCAACAGCTTAATGTAACTATATTATATAAACATGAAACAATCTCACTGAAGGGAGTGGGGGAAAGATACTGACCTAAGTGACTTTGGAAAATTCTTAGATTTTTCTTGGCTTTTATGACCTAGACAATTCTGGTCAGATATATTGCAAAATGACCCTCTATTTAAAATTTGACATGTTCCTAATTAATAGTCTTTCTTGTGCAAAATTGTTGTTAATGGAGCTGCTTGTGCAAATGAATCTGTGTAGTGTTATTGGCTCCCACCAACTTCCCTCCATTTGCTTAATTATTCAATTCCAGTAACAAGATGTAGCAGTGTTAGGGTTAGCCTCTATCCACCCAGGAAGCAACTAGACTATGGTGGGTTACAGACACAATTTCCAAAGTTACTTACTTAGTATCTTTAACCCATTCCCTTCAGTGAGATTTTTTCATGTTTCTGGTTAGATTAAGCTGTTGTTTTCTGCATTCCATGCCCTACCTCCTAAATTATTTCTTAAAAGTCTGCATTCATAGGCCGGGCTCGGCTATAATCCCAGCACTTTGGGAGACCGGGCTCGGCTATAATCCCAAAGTGCTGTAATCCCAGCACTTTAGGAGGCCGGGGTGAGTGGATTGCGTGGGTTCGAGACCAGCCCGGACAACTTGGCGGGACTCCCGTCTCTACAATATATCAACAACAAAAAAAAATTAACTGGGCGTGGTAGTGCACCTGTAGTTCGTTACTTGGAAGGCTGAGGCGGAAGGATCACCGGATCCCAGAGGGTCGATGCTGGGGTGCCATGAGTGTGTCACTACACTCCAGCCTGAGTGATGGAGTGAGACTCTGACTCAAAAAAAAAGTCTGCATACATAAAAATTTACCCTTTGTGATATAAAGCTCAATGGGTTTTGACAAATGGGTAGTGTCCTATGTCTGTTATTAAAGTATCAAATGGAAGAGTTTCACCACCCCCCAAAATCCCCTGGGCTTCACCTTTTTAGCTCCTCCCTTCTCCTCCTGAATCCATAACAACTATTTCCTACAGTTTTGCTTTTTTCAGAATTTCATATAATTGGACTCCTATAGTATGCAGCCATTTCACTCAGCAATATGCATTTAAGAGTCATCCGTGTCTTTTCTTGGCATGATAGCTCATTTCTTGTTATTGCTAAGAGTCCATTGTATGAATATAACACAATTTATCTCTTATCAGATACTTTTTTCTTTTTCTTTTTGAGTTGGAGTCTTACTCTGTTGCCCAGGAAGGAGCAGAGTGACATGATTGCAGCTCACCTCAGCCTTGACCTCCTGGGCTCAATCGATCCTCCTGTCTTGGCCTCCCAAAATGCTGGGATTACTGGTGTGGGCCACCGTGCTTGGTCCAGATACTTAATGTATAATATTTTTCTTCATTCCATAGTTGTCTCATTTTCTTGATAGTATCCTTTACAGTACCAAGTTTTCAATTTTTTACTAAGTCTAATTTATCTTTTTTTTGGTCACTTGAGCTTTTGGTGCCATCCAAAGTTTTTTTTTTGTTTTTGTTTTTGTTTTTTTTTGAGTAGGAGTCTCACTCTGTTCACCAGGCTGGAGTGTAGCGGCATGCTCATGGCCATCGCAGTCTCGATGTGCTGGGCTCAGGCAATCCTTCCACCTCAGCCTTCCAAGTAGCTGGAACCACAGGCATGCACCACCATGCCCAGCTAATTTTATGATTTATTGTAGAGATGAGGTCTTGCCATGTTGCCCAGGCTGGTCTCAAACCACTGAACTAAGGCAATCCTCTTGCCTCAGCCTCTCAAAAGTGCTGGAATTATAGGCGTGAGCCACTGTGCCTGGTTCATACAAAGAATTTTAACCAAAATATACAATGCTGGAGATGGCCTTTAGTGTTCATTGTGATATAATAGCTGCTTACAACTGTTATCTGGCTCTGGGGAAGAAGTAGACATTGTAGATCCTCTCTAGTAACTGATAACTTATTTGAGAAGCTGACATGAAGTTACTATTCAACAATTGTATCAATGAGGTCTTGTGTTGTTTGCCCCAGCAAGTACTGACTATACCCCCTTCTTTTGTTGTTGTTGTTTTTTTGTTTTTTTGTTTTTTTGAGTTGGAGTCTCACTGTGTCGCCCAGACTGGAGTGCAGTGGCCGCTCCCGGCCACCGTAGCCTCGACCTGCTGGGCTCCGGCGATCCTTCCTCCTCAGCCTTCCGAGTAGCCGGAATTACAGGCGTGCGCTACCACGCCCAGCTGAGTTTTTGATTTATTGTAGAGATGAGGTCTCGCTGCCCAGGCGGGTCTCGA